GAAAGGGAGAGCCCCTGCCCCCTCATTCCCTACTTTGATAAGAAAACTTTTAGTATTTCACCACCCAGTTCTTTAGCAGAAATGGATATTAAACTTTAATGTGCCTTTTGACATATATTGAGACAACTATACAAAATTTTCTTCTCATAAGTCCCAGGGACTGAACTCAGGTCCTCAGACTCGGCAGCAAATACCTTTACCTGTTGAACCATTTCCCTGGCTCCAATAATGAGTTTCTCTCAGAATCATCTTTTCTTAGTTAACTTAGATGTTTATTGAACACTCACTGGGCTTTCTTCTAGGTAAATATAGTACAAATAAAATACACATTTCGTATCTTCATGGGATTACTCTGGCAAGGAAGCTAAGATCACAGCAATGTATTAAACATGTAAGTAGAATGCAAGTGAAAATGCCACAGAAGAAATCACCCAGTTTCATCAGGCTTCATGGTCCTGAGGCTCAGCTTTCTCTGGGTCCTACTGTTAATATTTCATTTAGGATTTTTGTATCAATATTAGGCAGAGAAATTAGTTTATAGTATTCACTATATATATATATCACAAATAGTGAATATATATATATTTTATTATATATATATATCTGAAATATATATATTTCAGATTTGGAGGTCTGCATTATCTGGTCATTTTAAAAGTAAAAGATTTCTTCCTGTGTCTGCATGGTCCCAGCATCAGAACAATGTCCCCTTAAAGGTTGAAGACATTGCCTTGGCACTGTCTAGACCAACTTCCTTTTAGGGCCTGGCTTTGGAGTAACTCTTTCCTCTCTTCCACCGTTATTTTCCTTTAACAATAAGTTATGAATTTTTATATAGGAAAAAACTAAGCAATTTGTTTATGTTTTACTAAATATGTGTTTGTATGTCTATCTGTATTTCCACCCATCTATCTCTCCTGTGTATTTTTGAATGTTTGTGATTTTTTTTTCTGATGAAGAATTTATTTTATTCATTGTCTTTGAAGATCTGCTTCCTAGGTTTTTTTTTCTCAGTCTGCTGTTTTTATGTTTTCTATTTCATTAAATTTTGCCATTATTTTAATCAACTACTACTTTCCACCTTCCTTTTATTTATTCTCTTTTTTTTACTACTTCTTGAGCTGAGTGTGATTTTGGTTTACACCTAGAACAATAATTTTCTGTGACCATAGTATTAATCAACCATTTGCAGGCTTTAATATTAAGCATTTTCACAATGATCTTGAATCTATGTGCTGCAACTAAACATGGTTTTGCATTGTGAGGCTGCAGCTGGACACTATTAATGCTTACAGAGGCAAGCTTTTATAAGTATCTAGTTTTGTAATTATTTTCTGTTTTTATTTCACTGTGAATGTGATTTGTTGTATTCAACTTTCTGGAATTTATTAAGGACCTTTTGGTTGGCCAATTATGAAATCTGTATTTGTAAATGACACATACCATAGGAAAGGAGGGACACACTGTTTTTGGGAGATAAAGATTCATTATTAGATGGTCCAGTTCAACAATAAGTGTCCAAATACTGTAAATACATTTGTATGCCTCTTTGTGTTCCACAGAGAGATGTCTAATCCTCTTACCTCTTAGTGCACATCTCCGAGATTTTCTCATCCCATACTAGACACGATGCACCTCTGAACTAGACTCTTTACTTATTTTTAAATTTTTATTTGAGATAGGGTCTCACTATGTATTCCTGGATGTTCTAAAACTCACCATGTACACCAAGCCAGCTTCGAATTCACAGAGATCCACCTGCCTCTACCTCCTGAGTGTTAGGATTTAAGGTGTACACCACCACGACCAGCAAGACTAGATCTCTTCTTAGCAGAATACTCTTGCTTGTCAGAAGTATTTAATAGTTATTGCCTGGTTTTTAACTTAGGAAACCACGACAGCTGCCTTCTTCTGCTTTAGGCATATATTACACAACTCTAGGTAAAGGACAGACGTATACAGACTCAGGACATTTCCTACCTAGCAAGGCTGACTAGAGATGGGGCTGTTCCTGAGGGAGGCCCCAGCACTAGCACTGTGTGCTAATCATGGCAGGTGTAGGGACCTGAGGAGGAGGGAACATTGAACAGACCCATTCTAGAAGACAGCAGGTGTGTGTATGTCTGTTTCAATAACTCACACACAGCTGCACCCACACATATTGACTAAATCCAATTCAGAACCATTTTGAAGTTTAAACTGAGAGTTTCTCTGAAGCCCAACTTGAAAATCTTTCTTTTTTTTTTAAATCTTTTATTATTTTTTTTTTATTAATTACACTTTATTCATTTTGTATCCCCCCATAAGCCCCTCCCTCCTCCCCTGCCGATCCCACCCTCCCTCTCCTTTCTGCATGCATGCCACTCCCCAAGTCCACTGATAGGGGAGGTTCTCCTCTTCTTTCTGATCTTAGTCTATCAGTTCTCATCAAAAGTGGCTGCATTGTCCTCTACTGTGGCCTGGTAAGGCTGCTCCCCCCTCAGGGGGAGGTGATCAACGAGCAGGCCAATCAGATTATGTCAGAGGCAGTCCCTCTTCCCATTACTATGGAACCCACTTGGACACTGAACTGCCATGGGCTACACCTGTGCAGGGGTTCCAGGTCATCTCCATGAATAGTCCTTGGTTGGAGTATGAGTCTCTGGGAAGTTCCCTGTGTTCAAATTATCTTGTTCTGTTGCTCTGCTTGGGGAGTTCCAGTTCCCTCCAGCTCTTACTATTTCCCACTTCTTACATAAAACTCCATTCACTCTGCCCATCAGTTGGCCATCAGGCTCAGCATCTGCTTTGACAGTCTATACTGCAGAAGCTTTCAGAGGCCCTCTGTGGCAGGTTTCAAGGTTGTTTCCTGTTTTCTTCTGGCTTTCAGAGGCCCTTTGTAGCGGGTTCCTAGGTTGTTTCCTATTTTCGTTTACTTCTGATGTCCATCCTCTTTGCCTTTCAGGATGGGGATTGAACATTTTAGTTAGGGTCCTCTCTTTTGCTTAGTTTGTTTAGATGTACAGCTTTTAGTGGGTTTATTCTATATTGTATGTTTATATGAGTGAGTATATACCGTGAGTGTCTTTTTGCTTCTGGGTCAACTCACTCAGGATGATCCTTTCCAGGTCCCACCATTTACCTGCAAATTTCATGATTTCCTTATTTTTCACATACCCTAACTTGTGGGACACAATGAAAGCAGTGCTAAGAGGAAAGTTCATAGCACTAATTGCCTTCAAGAAGAAATTCGAGACAGCTCATTCAAGCAACTTAATGGCCCACTTAAAAACCCTAGAAAAAGAAGAAGCAGACACACCAAAAAGGAGTAGACGGCTGGAAATAATCAAACTCAGGGCTGAAATCAATCAATTAGAAACAAATAAAACAATTCAAAGAATCAATGAAACCAAGAGCTGGTTCTTTGAGAAAATCAACAAGATCGACAAACCCTTAGCCAAGCTAACTAAAAGGCAGAGAGACAACACCCAAATCAACAAAATCAGAAATGAAAGGGGGGACACAACTACAGACACTGAGGAAATCCAAACAATCATTAGGACTTACTTCGAAAATCTTTCTTTTTAAAAAGTGGTTTCATCGAGGTATTGAATTAGAGGCTGAAACTCATAGCCAAACTCTGAGCAGAATGCATGGAATTTTATGAAAGAAGGGGGAGATGGAAAGACTGGAGGGGACAGGAGCTACAAAAGGAGAGCAACAGAACCATAAAAACTGAGCCCTCGGGAGGCCTGCAGAGACTGATACCCTAACCAAGGACAATGCATGAGGAGGACCTAAAACCCCTGCTCAGATGTAGCCCATAGACTCAGTTTCCAAGTAGGTTCCCTAGTGAGGGGAGCAGGTGCTGTCTCTGACATGAACTCAGTCATGTCAGAGCTGGCTCTTTGACCATCCCCCTCCCTGAGCGGGGAACAGCCTTGCCAGGCCACAGAGGAAGACAATGCAGCCAGTCTTGATGAGACCTGATAGGCTAGGGTCAGAGGGAAGGGGAGGAGGACCTCCCCTATCAGTGGATTAGGGGAGGGGCATAGGAGGAGAAGAGGGAGGGTGGGATTGGAAAAGGGAGAGGGCAACAGCTGGGAATAAATTGTAATAAATAATAATAATTTAAAAAATTCCAAAAAAGGTGATTTCATTTACATTTATGTTCACAGTTGTTATATATGATCTTAATACTTTACTTTTATTTTCAGTATTTTTCTATATGATACACATTTTCTCTTTTCTTGTTTGCTTTTACTCTCCCTATCTTGTAACTTGAAAAGAAACAAATACAAAATTTCTCCATATGTTTTTTTGATGCAAGACACAGGCAGATGGTGTTTGTACAGGGTACATTTGTTTCTAAAAGCAGCTGCCATAAATACAAATCCTCCTGCCCAAAGGACTAAGAGATGAGGTGGGAAGATGAAAAGCCAGAAGCTTGTTAGTACGGTGAGGTGCAGCTTATCCCATGGCATCAGGACAGCCATCAAGTTTGGTCCATCTAATGGCAAAGAAGTGTTAAAGGAAGAGTTTTAAATACATTATTAAAAGAAAATTACTCAGAATGTGCAGTGAGCTCTCCTAATATTGGTCTGTAAACAGATGAGAAAGATCTAGAGAGATGGGGGAAGAAAGAAGGAAGAAGGGATATGTTAAAATACAGTTGCTTATCTAAGCACCAGGTTTCAAACCTTTCCAGGAGCCACTGGGACAAAAGTAAACAAAGAATGAGAAAAATACAGTGTTTAAGAAAATCATGCTATTCATGTTTATGTTCAATATTAACCATATTTAAGTTAAAAATGTAACAGGATGGATCTTGTTACCAAATTGAGCTCATTACTTTTTTCCTTTTAATATTTTCAATTATTCTTTTTATTTTCATAATTTAGACTTCCTTTTAAGGGTCAGAGTTATAACACAGAAACAGTACAAGCACCTATCCACGCATTTCTCTTCCAACCTCCCTTCTGACTTAGCACAGTCCCTTAGACTCAGAACACAGTGCTTACCAAGGAGTGCCACGAGGGTGAGCAGGATCACTATGTGCTTCATTCCTTTTCTTTTATGAAAATACAGAAGGATGCAGAAAACTAAGATTTCTAAAATCTAAAAATGAAAAAGAGTTAAAAAAAAGAGTAAGTTTCTTTACATTGGCTACAGGATGCCGCAAATACCTGTTTGGGCTTGCCATGCCCCTCGTGAGCCTTGGGGCAGCTGAGGTTCCCAGTTGACTATAAATGTAGGGCAGGACCATGATCCTCAGTCACCCAAAGACCATGGATACCACCTGCCCAGCAGTGACACTAAGCCCTGCTCTTCAGTCTCATTTACCCAGCTGTTTCCTGTCCCTGTGTGCGCTGAGCAGACACGCAGCCCTGCTAAGACAGGCAATCCCTTAACTCTTGATTTCTACCTTTGGCCAGGTCCTTCCATAGCCATGCCCCACTGCAGAGGCTCCCGGCTTCTCCATCCTTTATCCTTGGTCAGACTCCTCCTTCCCTTCCCTGCTTCCATCACTTCCTCTAACTCTTTGTTATTTCCATATAGCTCTGTGCTCTGCCCAGAATGTTCTTCATCAATCTTCACACAATGACTCCTTCTAGTCATTCAGCTCTGACCTGAAATGTCATTTCCTTAGAGGTTTCCCTTATGACTTGATCTAAAAGAACCAGCCTGTCATCCAGGGATATTGCTATCCAGAATTAAGTTTTACTTCTAGAGCCTTCTCTAACTAATATAAACATCTGTTTGGGCTCTAGACCCTGCCATTGGGCAGAGAGCTCTCAATTAGGAAGCTTGATGTATAACATGGAAGATTAAACCATCCTTTCAACTTTTCACTGGTTAATAAAGCCAATCATTGTCACTTTTCCGTATAGGACATATTTGCAAGGCCATTAACTAAGCCGCCCTACAAAAGCTGTCCAAGCGCTCCCTATGCCTTTCCTCCAAGAGTTCCCTATGCTTTCCCTGGAGCTGCCTTTGTGACCTTGGTGGTCCCAGTCTCCTTCCATCTTTAATAGGAAGGCCTTCTCTGCCCAATGTCCCTCTGGTACAGGCATCCAGTTCCCACCTCATGTAGTTGTAACAATGCATTCTTTGCCAGGAGACAGAGGGTCCACTCCATGGCACAGAGCATGGAACACTTGCTTTATGCCTGCTCTAAATTTTGGTAAGGCAGAATATAGATAGTTATTGCCAATTCTAAAAATCATATAGACTCTTTTCCTCCTCATATTCTATCTCTGTGACTTCAAAATAAACAAAACATGAGTTCTCATTAACCACTGAATGACTATAGTGGCATTGGGTTCTACCTTGTGTGAAGAGGTCACACAACACTCAGGGAAAATATATTCAATTAATATGAACAATATCTATCCCTTTATACACTTTTCTCTCTGAAATACTCAGACAGCAGTGGCTTAATGGATTCCTGCACTCCATGGAGAAGCTGCATTGCTGACTGGCCCAGTGTGCATTGCTCTTGGGCTTCTTTTATGTGAACTCACAGTCCTTCCTACCACCTTAGGAGACAGGTATTATGATTACCTTCATGTTATGGGTGAAGAAACTGAGGCTTGTTGTGTATGTGGGGCATGTTCAAGAATATTGCCTCTGGAATGTTGAATGATGTCACCCTATCCAAAGAGGCCCATGTTCTAAATACCCAGAACACTTGTTTACATTATGACATACTGCACTGGGGCTTTACAGCTGTGATTAAGGTTATGGATCCAAAATGGGAGGATGATTCAAGTATGTAAGTCTCTGGAAGAAGAAGCCACTGTAGTCAGAGAGTCTTAGAATTCAGGTAAGCCTGAGCCAAGGAGAGCAGAAAACCTATAGGAGCTGGGAAGTGACTGATTCCTCTCTGGAGGCTCTGCTAAGGAACATAGCCTGCCAGCATCTAAATCCTAATTCAGGGTCCAGACTTCTGACCTGGAACACAGCACGGCAATACATTTCCATTGTTTAAAGCTGCTACGTTTGTGGCAGTTTGTTATGGAATTCATAGAAAACTAATTCAGATTTTGGTTCCTGAAGTCTTTTCCAAAGAATCAGCTTCCAGATAAATTTTATAAGTTAGTTTTAGAGTTTTGTTTTATTTCTTTCCTTTCTTCCCCTTTCTTTTCCCCCTTGTCCCCCCATCTCCTCTTTGAGACAGTGCTCTCAACATAACCCTGGCTGGCCTAGAACTTATTATGTAGACCAGGCTAGCCTTGAACTCATAGAGATCCACCTATTGCTGCCTCTGCCTCTGCTGGGATTAAAGGTGTGGGCTACCACTCCTGGAACTTGGAAGTTTTTTAATTAGTTCTTGAATCTAATTAGAATTAAAGGTATTAGTTATCCCATTTTGGTGTTAAAGGAGTCAGTGTCAGTCTAGGAGATGATGTGTCAAAACAGACAAATTTCTCCAGTTTGAGTCTTAGTTTATTTCCCCATTCTCTCTCTCTCTCTCTCTCTCTCTCTCTCTCTCTCTCTCTCTCGTGTGTGTGTGTGTGTGTGTGTGTGTGTGTGTATGCACATGAACCATTGAGTGTGAGTGCCCATGAAAGTCAGAAGGGGATCTCTTGGAGCTGGATTTACAGGTGGTTGTTTAAATACCTAATGTGGATGCTAGGAACTGAAGCCCTTTGCAAGAGCAGTATGTGCTCATAACCACTAAGCCATCTTTTCAGCTCCACCCTTTTTCTTTCTTGAAAGCTCAGTCATTTAAAAGACTCTTTGTCTCACAGAAATAGAATCTGTCAAGAATCTCTGTGATCCCTGGCAGTCAGCAGTTCTGACCCTGAATAGGCAGAGAAATGCTGGAGTATGCCCTTCACAGAAATGCCTTGCTTGGAGTTCTGACTCTCGGAATTTGTGTTTATTGATTTGATCATGTTATTGGACCTCTCTCTAGACCTCTGGTTCCTCTTCCAGGAGGTGAAGAAGACAATGTGTCCACTCAAAGGACTGCTGCACAGATCAAGTGTAGAATGAGCCAGAGCAGTGCACAGACCCTGCTGCTCTGCCGGAGTGTTCCACTGTGCATGTCCTGCTGCAAGCACAGTTGTTTGCATCTAGACAACAAAGCAAAGAGACCTAATGCAAGAGATGCCTAATAAAAACATACTTTTCTTCCTCCCGGTTCACAGATGGTGGGTTGTATCAGCTTTATCAGAACCACAGACTCAATAATTAGCATTGGGGCACAGAATTATTTCAAATGATAGGTTTAGCTCCTGCTGCTGATGATTTGAGGAAAGAAAATGAGCACTGTGCAGATTATCATGTGAAGGATTTTATGTTCAGAACAGAGATTTCAATTTGAGTAGTTTATTGGAAAGTCCGGGTGGGCAAAACAGCCACCACCAAGCCTGCTAAAGAGCATGCTGTAATTAAGGCTTTGGGCTGTACCTTCCATATGGGCTGTAAAGAACATGTGTTAACAGGTGTGTTGATCAAGGAGTGGCTCTACAGCAACTGGGTCAAACAGCACATATGGAATGAAGGAAACCAAACCATCCCCTTCCATAGGACATAGCTTTTAGCCCACTGACACGGGTGACAGATTTCTCAGGGGATTGTTATGTAGTTCCTTTCCAAATTACTCTGACCTTGAGATCCCATTCAGCCTTGACTTCTGGAAGGTTTTGCTGAAGAGAACTATTCCTCTGTGGCAGATGGGCCTGGAAAAGCTGGGCCACCGGGTGAGCAGACAGCTTTCCCTTTCCCCCTGGCCAGCAGATACCAGGCCTCTCAAATCCCTTTCCTGTACAAGGACACCAACCAGGGAACAGACTCTGACCTTGGTATGGCCAGGCTTCCACTGGGCAGAGAACTAGACAACACATGGGCACCCATGGTCCATGTAAACATGTGAGCAAGAGATGAGCTCGGTCTCTATAACTTTACAATTCCTTGGTGGAAAATGGAAAAATGATTAAGATTTTTGAATATTTTTATTCATTTGATATGTGGTTCTGATCAGCCCTAAAAAGCAAATGGGCTGTATTTATATTTGGTGGACTATAGAAACAGATAAATCACTTGTTCAAAATTAGTCTTTTGGGGGTGGTATTGAGACAGGGTCTTTCTATGTATCCCAGTGTGGCCCTGAACATGTGATCCCTCTGCCTTCCTGAGTGCTTTGATTACAGGCACATGTCATCATACCTAGCTCAAAGAAGAGTCTTAATATCATTATCCCCTTTGTAAAAAAAAAAAAAAGCAAAAAAAAAAAAAAAACAAACAACAATAAGAAACTCAAAGTACTAAATCTACCACATCTGAAAATTGAACATTGAATATTTAGACGTTCAACATATTTAACCCAAAATTCAGCTCAAAAGTGATCACTTCTAGAATTCTTAGAGATGCAGTTATAAAATGGATTAGATTCCAAACCAATATAAAACTGGTCCATAGCACTAAGTGCCTGCAAGAAGAAATTCGTAACATCACATACAAGCAACTTAATGGCCCAACTGAAAACCCTAGAAAAAAAAGAAGCAGATATACCCAAGAAGAGCAGATGGCTGGAAATAACCAAACTAAGGGCTGAAATCAATCAATTAGAAACAAATAAAACTATTCAAAGAATCAATGAAACAAAAAGCTGGTTCTTTGAGAAAATCAACAAGATAGACAAACCCTTAGCCAAACTAACTAAAAAGCAGAGAGAAGCTATCCAAATCAGCAAAATCAGAAATGAAAATGGGGACATAACTACAGACACTGAGGAAATCCAAACAATTATTAGGTCATACTGCAAAAGCCTATATGCCACAAAATTTGAAAATCTAAATGAAATGGACAATTTTCTTGACAGATTCCATCTACCAAAATTAAGTCAAGATCAGGTAGAAAGACTGAATAGTCCTATATCTCCCAAGGAAATTGAAGCAGTCATTAACAGTCTCCCCTCCAAAAAAAGCCCTGGGCCAGATGGCTTCAGCTAACACAAATTCTCAAACTATTCCACAAAATAGAAACAGAAGGAACACTACCAAATTTATTCTATGAAGCCACAGTCACCTTGATACCTAAACCACACAAAGATCCACCAAAAAAAGAGAACTTCAGACCTATCTCTCTTATGAACATTGATGCAAAAA